TGTTGCGTCTTCATCGGAGGATAAGGTTGACAGCGTCTCGATTTGCTGAAGTTTGTAGAAGAAGGCAGACAACAGAGTTTTCTAGTAAGGCAATAAAAAAGGCAATACAAAAATCATTGGACACCTTAGTTCAATCTTGTGGTTTGTTTATTGATCGCACACATCCATTTCTGGCAGCATTGCCTCCATCTACCTATTACAGTAGACAAGAAATGTACTTAATCCAGGTATAAGCCTACCTGTTTAGTGCTTTGCAAAAACTACCTAACTGTTTCCTCTTATTTTGGCGGCATAAGATATTTTCATGACCCTCGTTCAATTGTTACCATGTACTACATCATCCTTGTAAACATAATTGTGTTTATTGACATGAATAAACGAATTTGAATTTGAGTTCTTGAATTTATTTTAGGAAAGATATCAAGTTATTTGAATACATTTTTTCTTAGTTGGAACGCACCGTCGCGTCGTTTTTTCGCCCAAAAACCGATTTCCACTTCACAGTTTACGTTTCATTTTTTATTATTTCCAAATGAAACTCTTGCAGCGTGCTAAAAACAAAGTCCACAGGGTGCTAACGATCCACTTTTTCGATTTTATCCACTAAAATCTTTTTTAAAATATCAAGAAGTTGAGCACAAATAGTAAGCATTTCAGCCCACCATAATTCTTGCCCAAAAAAAAAAATTGTAGAAAGCTCTGATAGCACCTTAGGCAATGATGTCCTGCTTATATCCAGAAGAACATCACAAACTGCAGAAGACAAATTGAAGGTAACGGCGAAATGTGTATATTTCACGGGTCATGAAATTTAAATGAAAATGCAGGTATAAAATCTACCAAATTATCGTTTTCAAAAACATATTTCCTTGAAATATCGATAATTTTTAAGTTAGACGCTAAATTCCCCTATACTTGACTGGAATGATATCCGAATTCATTCTTCCCTACTGTCGGCAGTTGCAGATAGATCTGTTGGCTCTTGGTGTTAAACCTATAGAGCAGGTACCGATTTTTTCAAATCGTGAGCACATTATTCGTCGGAATTTCGTTGCTCAAATTTCCTGTAATCACTGGGATCAGAAGCTTCTTAATAATAGAACGTGTTTCACTGATATCAAGGATTCAACATTTAGAATCACCTTCCCCGAACCCCCACTTTTTAAGCAGTACAATTTTTTTCTGTCAATGATAAGGAACTCCTGTAATGTCAAAAACGGAGTTTCAGCAATTGTTACTTTTTCTTTTTTTGCCTATAGCACCGTTGCCACTGGACTAAAACTACAAAGGTTTGGCATATGTACCAGTAACCCCGTGTGAAAATTTCATAAAAATCAGAGCGGTAATTTCCAAGTTGATGATGAGTGATATGGTTTTTCGTGATGGGGATGTCATATGACTTAAAAAAAATAACATCTCACAGGCGTGGGAAGTAAAACGGCTTTAAAATCGAGGAGTATCAGCGATCGCGATTATGAGTACCTATTTGCAGAACGACTTATCTATGCGATATTATATGAAATAGGGCCACCAAATTATCTGAATACGTCCTTTCTTAGTCCGTACATTGCGCCGCAACGCTTGGGTTGGCAGCACGAATCAGTAGACAAAATTCGTCTAAAATACGATTTGTAGAGGTTTGCGCGCTTCGAAATTGACGCTTTATTTTTTAATATTTTTGAATTAAATTTTCACAGTGTGCTGAAAACAAAACCCCACAGGGTGCTATAGAGCCACTTTTTCATTTTTTTCACTAGATTCTTTTTAAAAAGATCGCGAAGTTGAACAGAAAAAGTGCGCACTTCAACCCATCACAAAACTTGTACAAAAACAAAATTACATAAAGTGCTCTTATACCACCCTCGGCAATTATCTTCTGAACATACTGTATTAATTTCAATCAAAAATATTGAAAAATGGTGTGTCAGTTTCGAAGCAGCTGAACCCTTGTAACTCACTGCGTCGGAGCCGCCTTAAGTTGACTTATACCCTTTTTTCACATTTCCCTCCTTCCCCGATACGTGTACCTATACCAGATTAATAAATACTAGCTTTAATCGATTCACAGTCGTTAGATAAGATTAGAGCCTTTATAAACTATTTGAGAAGAAATAATACTTATTTTTCCGTGTTGTTTGTTTGTGTGAGCAGTATGATTTCAAATAGAACACGATAAATAATGAAAAAAGTTGAGGAACTAAACTCTGATGCCCCCAGAACAAGCGAGCAAAGTAAGTATATACATTAGGCATGTAAACAATTGTTACCAGTAAAATTACTCATACTTTATTTATAAAAGTACACACACTGTATTTTTTTAAAGCCTACATTATTTAATGAAACTGTCAACAGTACAGGGTGTAAACGAACTTATTAATCAACTCATAACTGCTAGAGTATAAGGTGTATCAAAATGAGATTTGGTATACAGGTAGATAAATAGTGCTGGAAAAGGATTTTGTATCTTTTTTATTCTCCGCTCACTTCTGGTTTAACCGGAAATGGGGTCCAATTTTGAATTTTTAAATAGAATGCCATGTATGTTTTACCATTTTTGGGTTTTTGAGACAAATCTGGATCAGAATGGATTCGTTTTTACGACCATTTTGTTTCCGAAGAGTTCAAGTGAACAGCAGTTAATATTGCATCTAGGTGACCATGATTGGTCCTAAACTAATTCAAGGGTCTGCTAGATCACAAAACGATATAAAATGATGTTTTGTCATGGATAATACTAAAATCAAAAAATATCCGTGATTTTACGCCATTTTTTATCATAAGCATATCAGTGGTAAATTATAAATATCACGCTTATACTTTCATAGTGAATTCGAAACTGTTCAAAATTAGCTGTTCAACGATCTATCACAAGACGGTGAATTAGGCCCTATTAAAATGACGGCAGTGAAACAATGATTTTAAAATTCAATATTGCGGCGATCCTAGATCATGGACGATACTTTTTCAAATAACGTACAACAATGTCTAGTTAAACTTTAAAGTTTACTGGTTTTTGGTCGAATTAAAGCTAATTTGAATCTTTATCAAAATTGCTTATATACAGGGTTACAGGAAAAGTCGTGCTAGATCCGTTAAGGGCGTGTAGTACCCATCATTTCTGACTTATTTCATTATGAAACACCCTACCCTAAACTTAACCCTTTTCGAGATATTCAACTTTTAATGTTTTTATTGAAAATTGCCGATTTTTAGGCTACTAAATGTATTTATTTTTAATTTGTGTGTGTTATTATTACTATTATTGCATTTTAACATGTGTAATAAGATGCTTTAGGACGTCAATCATTAAAATAGTCCATAAGTTAATTGAATAGGCTGTAGTAGATAAGTGAATGTTAAGAATTGAAAAAAATATCAGAAAGTTTATTTTTCTCTAAGGGATATCTAAAAAAAATATTATGGCAATTGTTCGGCAGATGTGTTTTAAAATATCTATGTTTTATCAGCTATCTAACGAGGTATAACAATCTAGGATTTTATTTAAATGCATTGAAAAAACTTAGTTTCATAGGCGACAGTGGAGAAGAAAATTGATACTTAGCCCTAAAAAGTAAAATAAAACAATAGGTAAGCATGAAATATCATTTATTAAATCAGGTTTTCACACAACTTTTTCTTACTCTACAGTTCATGTTCAACATGGCTGCCTCTGTTTCTAATACATTGTCGCATCCTTCTACGGAGACCAGTCTTTACAACTGCAGTGGTCAACGTTGTCCTTAGTTGATTTGCTGCATCGACAATCCTTTCTCTTAATTCTTCCACAGACGAAACTGGATTTGGCTCGCTGTAGACAAGACTTTTCATGCACCCCTACACATGAAAATCCATGGGGGTTAGGTCCGGACTTCTTGCTGGCCATGGCAACGGCCCACCTCGTCCTATCCATTTGTTTGGATAATTTGTGTCCAGCCAGTCTCTGACACTTCTCCTGAAATGGGCAGGGCAGCCATCATGTTGGAACCACATGTCCCTTCTCAAGTTGAGTGGCAGATCATCCAGCAAATCTCCTCGTTGGGACCTCGCCACTCTTTTCTTATTGGGATTCCTTAGTGCTTTTGGGGCCCAGTAATGGGCGTTGTGATAGTTAGTTATGCCATCGTTATCAAATTTGGATTCATCTGTCCATAAGATATTTCTTAGAAAATCTGGGTCTTCTACGTCAGCATTTAGCATAAATCTGCTGAAGTCCAACCTTCTCGCGGGGTCTCCTTCTTCAATAGTGTGTACCGGCGTGTAATGGTACGGGCATAGGCCAGCAGTATGCACTGTAAACCACTCTCCATTGCGAAAGTCCCAGATCACGGGCAACACGATTAGTGGAAATGGTCGGATCCGCTCGAAAGCGTTGCACACTCTCTCATTGTCCTGCAGTTCTTCGTTGTCATAAATTCGTGGTCTTCCCAGGTCTGTATTTCGTCTCAAAACAGAGCCAGTTTCTCGAAGTCTTATGGCGGATTTCCACCAAACCGACTCGTCGAGTTGCTGTTTTGTTTCCGAATATGAAAACTCCGACAGACAACACAAAACAGCAACAAAACAGAACCAAATCAGAAACGCTGTTGCAACTGAACAGACTCGACTACAGTCCTAGTTGTGTGTAAGTTGTCACTCCTTTCCACTAGGCAGACAGTGTTTTGTGTTGATCATGTGGCATGAAGATGATCTTTTCATCATGTTATGTGGATGGTTTATATTGCATTCTAAAGCAAAGAAAAGGAAAAAGCGTCGACAGCACAGGTACTGGGTGAGATCGCTGTTGACTACAAGAGAAAATAATGGCGCGGCAGAAATGCTTACTCAGTTGAGAACGGATGATTTTGGATTGCATGGCGAGTTGCGATCATCGTTTCATAATTTTGTGAGAATGTCCAGCACTGATTTTGAAAACCTGATAACTCTGATCGGCGCAAAGATTCGCAAACAAAACACAAATTACAGAGACGCTATATCCGTAAAAGACCGTTTAGCTATAACACTAAGATTCCTTGCTACGGGGGACAGCTATCAAAGTTTGATGTATTTATGTAAAGCATCTGCATCATCAATTTCACGAATTGTGCCCGAAGTTTGCAGTGCCCTATGCGAAGGTCTAAAGGATAATATAAAGGTAAGGCCACACTGTATATAGGATACTGCAACGAAAATATATTTTGACAAATAGTACGTACAGTAACTTAAGGTTAATTCTTTGGAAACATGTCCTGATTTGTATTATCGTCATGATTTGTATTCAGCCCAAAGGATGATGCAATGGCAACTTGTAAAACGTCATCACTCCAAGTTTGTTGTACTTCCGTCTCCGTCATTGCCGACTGGGTGTCAGATGATACAGTGTGACTGCTGTTAGGTGAAGGTGATGGCACGACGACTCGCATGGTTTCTGGATAATTGTAATAACCGATTCGAGCCTCATATAGTAGGTTATTTATTTTGTGTTGCACAGTAACTCTAGCATGTTCAGTTTGCAGATGTCTGATATTGCAGGCCACCATTTCCCCAAACACGTCGTATTCGTCGCGCCTTGATGTAGTTACTTGCCTGTTCTCAAATACTGACTTCATCATCTGAAAGACCTCCGTAGTCTCATTTTTGTCATCAGACTCAACACGTTTTTTCTTTCTTGAGCCAATTTTTGGAGTACTAAAAACATGTGGTTTCTGGGAAGCTTGTTTCTGAAAATATTCTGCACTTTCTGTATTCTCAACTGAAACATTTTTGTTAACTGACGCTGCAGCAGCGATTTTAGGCTCTTCCCTTGTATTTGCTGCAGGTGTGCCTATTTCCTCAGTTAACTGACATTCTGAAACTTCGCTTTCACTTTCATACTCATTCGTTGCTTCGGTTGTGCTTTGCATATCAGACTGGGTTTCTTCATCACCTTCATCTGACGAATCACTTCCCTGTAATTATAGAGTGCGCATTGAATTGGCTGAATTTCATAAAATGTGGGTTGTATAGTTTAAAATGAAGATTATTTTAGGAATAATATCAGTTGTTTGAAATCCAATATCAAGAAATCAGATATCGTGTCCTTTCGGGATTCTTCCTTCTTACATTTGATCATGGTCCTGAATTTTTTTGTTTTAAGGTTCCCGCAAATCCAGAGGATTGGAAAAAAGTTGCAAATGGATATAATACAATGTGGAACTTCCCGATGTGTATAGGCAGTATGGATGGAAAACATGTAATCATAGAATCCCCAAAATACAGTGGAAGTGAATTCTTCAATTATAAAGGGACTTTTAGTATTGTATTGTTTGCCATAGTCGATGCCAGTTACAATTTTATTTTTGTTTACGTTGGGTGCCAGGGCCGAATATCAGACGGAGGAGTTTTCAAAAATACTGGATTTGCCAAAGCATTGGAAAGAGATATGCTCAATCTGCCACAAAAGGCGGCACTTTCTGGAAGAGAAAAACTGGTACCATACGTCTTACTAGCAGACGATGCATTCCCCTTGTCACAAAATATAATGAAGCCGTATGCTGGGCACCAAGAACGTGGGTCAAGACAACGAATTTTTAATTACCGTCTAAGTAGAGCTCGAAGAGTCGTCGAGAACGTATTCGGAATACTAGCATCTGTTTTTCGGGTCCTTCGCAAGCCTATGTTACTAGAGCCGGACAAAGTGGAGAAAGTTGTTCAAACATGTGTTTTGCTGCACAATTATTTACGTAGAGATGTGGAATCGAAAGATAGATATACACCGCCAGGCTCCTTTGATTTCGAACACTTAGATTCTGGTACTGTAAGTGGAGGATTGTGGAGAAATGATCCGGAACCATGTCACTCACTTTTGCCTATAAGACGAATAGCAAGGAAACCAATTCAAGAAGCCCGAGAAATTAGAGACGAATTCAGCGAATATTTCATATCGGACTTAGGACAAGTACCATGGCAATCACAGTATGCTTAATTATTTGTTGTAAATTTTCTTAAAATGCTAGAGTTTTAAATAAACACAAAAAAAACAAAATACCTACTCACCTCCAATTCTACGCCAATCTGTGTTCCTTTCCTAGGTTTGTTTTTGTCGTGAAGGAAGCTCATGGCACTATAACCAAACCATTTTGCCTTGAAAACATGACCGGCTCCTGATTTTTTCATTTTTTTGTAACTGCGCCTTTCCCGTTGGTACTGGGTAATTAAGTTTTTTATTTTCCTCTCTATTTCATGTGGAGTTGTTTTAAATACATGAGCTATTTGTTTGTAAGTGTCCATTTTTTTCACTCGATTTTTATACTCCAGGTTTGTGGGGTTCCATAAATTTGGACAATCGCGATAAGTTTCTATTAAATTTCCCACTTCTTCTGTGGTCCACTTTTTCTTTTCTTCAGTCATATCCTGCAATTAACTGCTAGGTATTCAATAGCACAAATAAATTCAAACTGCGCACACTGCAACACACTACAACAGACTACAACAAAACAGAGACGCGTCGCAAGCTGTTTCCACTAAACCAACTGTGTTGCTAGTTGCGCGAAAACCCTTTGAAGTTACCGCCTTCGACCGGGACTTCGAAAACACAACAAAAACTCAACAAAAACAGTTGCCGGCGACTCCTGTCTACAAAATGTTGGTGAAAAGTTGCAGTTTTGTTGAGATAAACACGAGTTTCTGTTTTGTTGCTGTTTTGTCTGTTTGGTGGAAATCCGCCATTAGATAAACTCTGTTAAAAACGGCCACATCCGGCACTCGACGACCGGGGAAGCGAGTTCTGTATTCGTTGCGAGCTTGCGCAGATACACAATCGCAGTATCCGTAACAAATAAGCATATCAGCATATTCCTCAGGTGTGTAGGACGTCATCTTCAACACTTCCGTATCACAAGTACAAATCAGAGTCCAGTGAACAAGCACAGTATTCACAAATCAGAAGAAATAGTCCAGAATCGTAGCCAAGTCGAGGAAAAGAGCAAAACGATATCACATCTACTATGTACGAAGCACAAAAGCAGACTGACAACCAAAACAACATCCCGTGTTGGATTTCCAGCCCTAACCGGTTATTATAATATGTTTTCTTTCATTCGCACCCACATTAAATCGTCATGTCTCGCTCGCACGGTGCGTCTAAACTTGAAGGAGAATAGGCGTGGGAACTGCTACTGGAGCGTCCCAACTACTTTTTTTCTACGAAATGTAATACAAATCCTAGATTGTTATACCTCGTTAGATAGCTGATAAAACATAGATATTTTAAAACACATCTGCCGAACAATTGCCATAATATTTTTTTTAGATATCCCTTCGAGAAAAATAAACTTTCTGATATTTTTTTCAATTTCTTAACGTTCACTTATCTACTACGGCCTATTCAATTAACTTATGGACTATTTTAATGATTGACGTCCTAAAGCATCTTATTACACATGTTAAAATGCAATAATAGTAATAATAACACACACAAAATAAAAATAAATACATTTAGTAGCCTAAAAATCGGCAATTTTCAATAAAAACATTAAAAGTTGAATATCTCGAAAAGGGTTAAGTTTAGGGTAGGGTGTTTCATAATGAAATAAGTCAGAAATGATGGGTACTACACGCCCTTAACGGATCTAGCACGACTTTTCCTGTAACCCTGTATATTAATCCTTCTAAAACGCTTTTTAGTGTAAGATGTCTTAGCTATAAAAAATATGCTTCAATTTCAGTATAATGTCTTTTGGAACAACCGTTGTAATGTGATTTCATGTTCCTACGCAATATATCAGCGATTTATTTTAGAAATCTACAACAACCTAATTCTACGGTACTAATGTGCAAAATTGCTTATACAGGGTGTTCCATAATTATTGCGACAAAATGATAGGGGTTGTAGAGGGCATCAAAATGAACAATTTTGCCTTATAAACCCCTGTTCGGAAATATGCCGTTTGGGATGCAGCAAAAAAAAAGATCAGTTTCTTGAAACAGCTTACCTACAGTAATTGCTCAAAGTGTCCTCCACCTTGCTCAATACACAGCTGTGCACGATTGTTCAATGATCGGCGAACTCTGTGGCATACCCCCGGTATGTCCTGAACATGTGCGGACGCGGCCATCACTCTTCCCAGTAGCTCTTGTTGGTTGGGAACAGTAGTTTCGTACACTAAAGCTTTCAGATGGCCCCAGAGAAAATAATCCAGTGGGGTCAGGTCGGGTGACCGCGCAGGCCAAGGCACAGGGCCACCTCGGCCTATCCACCTATTTGTCGTCCAAATATTGCCGCACTTGTAAAGAAAAGTGGGCTGGAGCGCCATCGTGTTGAAACCACATGTTGGCTCTTATGTTCAGTGGCACAATTTCTAATAGTTCCGGTAGCACATGCTGTAAGAATCGACCATAAGCATGCCCATCCAAACGTGGTGGAAGCAAATATGGCCCGATGATATGCTCGTCCACAATGCCGCACCAGATGTTAATTGAAAACTATGTTGGTCTCTATGGATAGCTATGGCATGAGGGTTTTCTTCATCCCAAATGTGACTGTTACGGCTATTAAAATAAACGTCCTTTGTGAAACAGGACTCGTCAGTGAACAAAACGTAGCGACCAAAGTTTGGTTGCCTCAACTCCTGCTGCAGCCACCAACGACAAAAACGTCGACGCGGCAGATAGTTTTCTGGACCCATGGCTTGGACTTTTAAAAGGTGGTATGGGTGTAGTTGCTGATCATGGAGAACCCGCCAAGCAGTAGTTTGAGACGCTCCCATTTCATGTGCAATAGCACGCACGCTTGTACGCGGATTGGCCTCTAGTTTGACGCACCACTCAGATAAATTAAATGAATCGGTGTGGAGAATTTACGATAACAAAAATGTAAACACAGCAGGCTTTTTTTTAAAAATCGGCGAGACCATGAAATGTGCTAGACGAACATTTTGCAGCTGTTGAATTTTTTGTTTCTCTTAAGGTAAAATTAGCGGTAGTGCTCAAACGGCATATTTACGAACAGGGGTTTATAAGGCAAAATTGCATTTTTTTATGTCCTCTACAACCCCTATCATTTTGTCGCAATAATTATGGAACACCCTGTATATATTAATCTTTTCAAAACGCTTTTTAGTGTAAAATATCTTAGCTATAAATATGCTTCAATTTCAGTATAATGTCGTTTGGAACAACCGTTGTAATGTGGTTTCATGTTCCTACGCAATATATCAGCGATTTATTTTAGAAATCTGCAACAACCTAGTTCTACGGTACTAATGTAATAGAAACAAGCTGAGACAACAAACTGCAAACACGCTTGCCTAGTGTACCGACACGTCCGAAACCGGGTACCGGTATTCATATTCACGGATATTCCGATCAGTGTTGCCAGTTCGATATTCATTTCATGAGTAAATGGGTTAACAAAAATTCAGTAGATTTCAGTAAACTCTGGGCGCTGAAGAAAGACATTAAACGTAAACAGTGATCAGCACGTGAACAGATCCCTCGAAAGCATCCACGGATGTACTCCAGTCACTTTAGGTCTAAACATCCTCGGCAGTGTATTTCTAGTGAATCCACAGACCCTTTTTCGTGTCATCTTGGGACTAGAAAAAGGATGACTGTTAAAATAAGTTACCTTGATCTTTCATGAGCTCCCAGTACAAAACATCATCGATATATTTTTGATGTAGGAACAACAAATTGGTTTAGAAAACATCCACTTTGAACCTAAATTGACTGGAGTAACATCGATCTACAGAAAATTCAAGGTCACTAGCAGTCGTCGGCGCTCTACGAATCTGCACAGGTTTGGACTTGTAAACGTGATTGTAGATGACACGACAGGCATCTAACAGTTAATTCACGCACAGGATTGCATTGCATACGCATTACGCATTCAGTAGCGTATACTCGTTTTTCGCGAGTGGAACGTTTTGTTTATATATTGCCTAAGATACGATGTCTGACACAGATACAGCCGACGAAGTGGTTGACATCAGCGCAACCCCACCCAAAAAAAGGGCTAAGAAGCTACATTTAAGTGCAAATGAAAAACAAATAATATTAAATATATAAAAAAACCAAATTCAAGAAAAACCCGATTTGGTCGTGGACGAAGTTATATGTAAGGTAGCACATATTTCTGGAGTATGTCGGTCCAGTGTTTATAGGATCATTAAGGTATATAGGAGCACTCACTCACTTTCTGAGCCAAAACCGTATCCTGCAAGAAAAAGGATAACGGACGGAGTAGATGACTTTGACAGAACTGCCATCAGGAGGAAAGTGCATA